CCCCTCTGTTTCCTCCTCCTCCTCCTCCCCTGTCTCCCACTTGTGCACTCTGTCTCTCTAAAATACAAAATTAAATGGGGCTCCTGGGTGGCTCAGTCAGTTGAGAGTCCACCTTCGGCTCAGGGCATGATCTTGCGGTCCATGAGTTCAAGCCCTTCATCAGGCTCTGTGCTGACAGCTTAGAGCCTGGGGCCTGATTCAGATTCTGTGTCTCCCTCTCTCTCTGCCCCTCCCCTGCTTGTGCTCTTTCTCTGTCTCAAAAATAAACATTAAAAACATTTTTTTAATAAAAAATTAAAAACAAATATTATACACAGATTTTTGACTGCATGGGGTCAGCGCCTTTAAGTCCTGTGTTGCTCAAGAGTCCACTGTATTCATTGGCATTCAGCTTTCCTTTTTCCCTTACTTACTTACTTACTTACTTACTTACTTACTTACTTATTTATTTATTTATTTATTTATTTATTATTAGCTCACACCTCATAGATTCTTATTTTATTCGATGGGCTATAATCCATTACTGTTACTATTTATTTTGATGCTTAAATTGTCTTAGATTTGACCAGAGGTCACCCAATTCCTATGTCCTTTTTTTTTTAATTGAGCTGTAATTTAAGTTTCATTCTTTTTTTTTTTTTTTAAACATTTTTTGTTTATTTTTTGAGAGAGAGACAGAGTGTGAACAGGGAGGAGCAGAGAGAGAAGGAGACACAGAATTCGAAGCAGGCTCCAGGCTCTGAGGTGTCAGCACAGAGCCTGACATGGGGCTCGAACTCACAAAACATGACATGACCTGAGCCAAAGTCAGACGCTTAACTGAGCCACTCAGGTGCCCCTTAAGTTTCATTCTTTTAAAGTGTGCAATTCAGTGGTTGTTAGTGTATTTACACGGCTGTACCATCACTACCACTATCTAATTTCAGAATTTTCATCACCCCAAAAACGAATCCTACCCACCAACAATCACTCCATTTCTCCCCTTCTTTCACATCCTGCAGCCACTTACCTACTTTGTCTCCACGGATTACCTATCCAAGATACTTCGTACAAATGCATTCCTACAGTATGTGGCCTTTATGTCTGGCTTCTTTCACTTAGCATAATGTTTTCAAGGCTCAGACATGTTACAGTATTAATCAGTACTTGCATTTTTTTTTTCTATGCTGGGTCATGTGGCAACTCTCTGTTAACTTTTTGAGGAACTGGCAGACTGTTTTCCAAAGGTAGCTGCAACATTTTGCCTTCCCACCAGCAATGTATGTGGGTTCCAATTTCCTCCTATCTTCATCAATACTTACTTTTACCTGTTTTTTTGATTATGGCCATCCTAGTGAGTATGAAGTGATATCTTACTGTGGTTTTGCTTTGCATTTCCCTACTGACTCATGATGCTGAGCATCTTTTCATGTGCTTCTTGAACATTTATCTTCATTAGAGAAATGTCTACTTAATTGTTTCCCATTTTTAAATTGGCTCTCTTTATTGTTGAGTTGTACAAGTTCTTTATATATTCTTAAAACAATTTTTTTTATGTTTTTATTTTATTTTTGAGAGAGACAGAGTGTG